TTCGATTAGTCTGTCCATAACACTTTTTTCCAATCTTCCTCTGTCCAGTGTCTGTGTTCTTTTGCCCATCTTAATCTTTTATTTTTATTGGCCAGTCTGAGATATGGCTTTTTCTTTGCAACTCTGCCTAGAAGTTCAGCATCCCGGAGCCGCCTCTTCACTGTTGACGTTGAGACTGGTGTTTTGCGGGTACTATTTAATGAAGCTGCCAGTTGAGGACCTGTGAGGTGTCTGTTTCTCAATCTAGACACTCTAATGTATTTGTCCTCTTGCTCAGTTGTGCACCGTGGCCTCCCATTCTTTCTATTCTGGTTAGAGTCAGTTTGCGCTGTTCTGTGAAGGGAGTAGTACACAGCGTTGTACGAGATCTTCAGTTTCTTGGCAATTTCTCGCATGGAATAGCCTTCATTTCTCATTAACAAGAATAGACTGACGACTTTCTGTCACGCCCTGACTCAGGGGACGCTTATATGTTGAGTCAGGGTGTGTATATTCCTTGTTGTGCTTGTTCTATGTTATAGGTTCTAGTATGGTTATTTCTATGTTGGCCGGTGTTGTTCCCAATCAGAGGCAGCTGTCGCTCGTTGTCTCTGATTGGGGACCATACTTAGGCAGCCTATTGGCACTATTGAGTTGTGGGATCTTGTTCCGTATAGGTATGTTGTTTGTGTCTACCTTGGACTTCACGTATCGTTGGTTTATTGTTTTGTCGTTGTGTTTATTCATTTAATAAACATGTATGCATATCACGCTGCGCCTTGGTCCGTCCCGTTTATGAACGAACGTGACAGAAGATCCCACCAAACAAGGACCAAGCAGCGTGCCCAGAAGAAGCAAACGCCGGGGATTCAACGGGAGGTAACTTTAGTAGATGTCCTCCTCGGTTGGGGGAGGCCGTCCGTTATCGGGAGGCGATGAAGGTTGATGCCCAGGTAGGAGAGGAGAAACGGCGCCAACCGTGCCGACAACGGAGACCCGAGAGGCAACCCCAAGAACATTTTTTTGGGGGGGCACACGGGGTGGATGACGAGGCAGCAGGAGGCCGTGGAAGGGCGAGTCTGCAGGTTAAGAGAGGAGGCCACCATGTTACGGGGGCTATTGGTTCAGAGGGAGCAGGAGTTATTCGGTCAGAGGGAGGCGCTGCAGGAGGCTAAAAGGGAGAAGGAAAGTGTAGAGGCACGGCGAGAGGAGCTGGTTAGGCAGCAGAGGGAGCGGGGGTTAATAAAGGAACCCAGTCCTGCTCCTCGCACCAAGCAAGTGGTGCATGTCGCCAGTCCGGTCCGGCCCGTTCCTGCTCCCCGCACTAAGGCAGTGGTGCGTGTTCCTAGTACGGCCCGACCCGTTCCTGCTCCTCGCACCAAGAAAGTGGTGCGCGTCGCCAGCCCGGTCCGGCCTGTTCCTGCTCCTCGCACCAACCCAGTGGTGCACGTCGCCAGTCCGGCCCGGCCTGTTCCTGCTCCTCGCACCAAGTCAGTGGTGCGCGTCGCCGGCACGGCCTGTTCCTGCTCCTCGCACCAAGCCAGTGGTGCGCGTCGCCAGTCCGGCCCGGCCTGTTCCTGCTCCTCGCACCAAGCCAGTGGTGCGCGTCGCCAGCCCGGCCCGGCCTGTTCCTGCACCTCGCACCAAGCCAGTGATTGGGCCTGGCGTATCGTGAGAGGAAGGAGAGGGGAAGCAACGCGCCGAGGTCTAGACCAGACCAGGGGCGCAACAGGGAGGCGAAGAGTGAGAGGTCGTCACGCCCTGAGCCGGATCCGCCTCCGAGGCGGAATGCCCACCCGGCCCCTACCCTGTTATGTTTATGTTGTGCGGTCGGAGTCCGCACCTTTGGGGGGGGGTACTGTCACGCCCTGACTCAGGGGACGCTTATATGTTGAGTCAGGGTGTGTATATTCCTTGTTGTGCTTGTTCTATGTTATAGGTTCTAGTATGGTTATTTCTATGTTGGCCGGTGTGGTTCCCAATCAGAGGCAGCTGTCGCTCGTTGTCTCTGATTGGGGACCATACTTAGGCAGCCTATTGGCACTATTGAGTTGTGGGATCTTGTTCCGTATAGGTATGTTGTTTGTGTCTACCTTGGACTTCACGTTTCGTTTCGTTTCTTGTTTTGTCGAGTGTTTATTAAGTTGAAATAAACATGTATGCATATCACGCTGCGCCTTGGTCCGTCCCATTTATGAACGAACGTGACACTTTCAGAAGAAAGTTCTTTGTTTCTGGCCATTTTGAGCCTGTAATCGAACCCACAATTGCTGATGCTCCAGATACTCAACTAGTCTCAAGAAGGCCAGTTTTATTGCTTCTTTAATCAGCACAACAGTTTTCAGCTGTGCTAACATAATTGCAAAAGGGATTAAACGTGAATATTATTATTATAAGAGTTTCGCTGTACCCTGCAATTACGTCTGCGTCCATGTGACTAAACACTAATCTAATCAGGAAGCTTTGTTTCCCTAGCACTATGAAAAACCCAGCAGCGTTGCCGTTCTTGACACACTCAAACCAGTGCGCCTGGCACCTACTACCATACCCCGTTCAAAGGCACTTAAATATTTTGGTTTGCCCATTCGCCCTCTGAATTGCACACATACACAATCCATGTCTCAATTGTCTCAAGGCTTAAAAATACTTATTTAACCTATCTCCTCCCCTTCATCTACACTAACAGGTGACATCAATAAGGGATAATAGCTTTCACCTGGATTCACCTGGTCAGTCTATGTAATGGAAAGAGCAGGTGTTCCTAATGTTTTGTACAGTCAGTGTATATCGCTCTATTATGCATGGGAATACTTTGGAACATATTTCCAAAATTAAAATCACTTGGAGCTGATTTGATGGTGTTTTTACAGTCTTATGTCCAACAACTACAACTCATTTTCAAATAAAATCACGCGCAGGCCACGGGCCGACAGTTGGGGAACCCTGAATTAGATCATGAATATAAGTGCCAATCTGACAGTATGGCGTGTGTGTAGCCTACACTTATATATTCAGAGAGATGGCAACCAATAATCCTAGAATCATAAAGTGAAATACAGTATAAGAAATGTAGACAAACCAAGCTTGATGTGATTTTGTACATAATCAGAAAAAGGTTGAGAAACTGTTTATTTGGAGCACAGAGACAATGAAATTGGACAGCTCAGTAAAAGTGCAGGCATTTCTGAGATGTCCTGTTGCTTGAATCACTCAGTTTTTTTATGTTTGCAGGATTTTCACAGCATTGTATAAGCCATATATTTAACGCTTCCTCTTTAGTTTACAATTACCTTTAACACTATTCATCTCAAAGAGACAACTAAGTAACCTCTGAGAATTCAGTTTCAGGCAGATTTGTAATATACAGTAGATTTCAATCTGGGTTCTGGGTTCAAATTACGTATCTGCAAGCCCTGGATGAAAGGGGTACATCAATGCTCTGGCAGATGAAAGCGCCTCAAGTTATTTATAGCACTTAATTTATACAAGGGCTTATGCTGTCTGAAGTGTTTGGATTTCTTTTCACCTTTTTTCAGAATGTTGCGTAACCAATTTGGTTCAATCATAGCGGAAATGTTAAATATATCACACTTATTTGCATGATAGTCCCCATAAACATCTAAATTAAGCTACTGTAGTGTCATACACTGATTTTTTAAATAAATATTTTGGAAATACCTATTCATCTGCAAGTTTTAAACAGTCAAGACACCTGGCATGGTATAGAATGTATACTGAACAAAAATATAAACGCAACATGTAAAGTGTTGGTCCCATGATTTCATGAACTGAAATAAACGATCCCAGAAATGTTCCATATGCACAAAAAGCTTATTTAGCTCAAATTTTGTGCACAAATTTGTTTACATCCCTGTTAGTGAGCATATTTTCCTTTGCCAAGATAATCCATCCACCTGACAGATGTGGCATATCAAGAAGCTGATAACACAGCTTGATCATTACACAGGTGCATCTTGCGCTGCGGACAATAAAAGGCCACTCTAAAATGTGCAGTTGTCACACAACACAATGCCACAGATGTTTTGAGGGAACGGGCAATTGGCTTGCTGACTGCAGGAATGTCAACCAGAGCTGTTGCCAGAGAACTGAATGTTAAATTCTCTACCATAAGCCGTCTCCAACGTTGTTTTAGAGAATTTGGCAGTACGTTCAACCGGCCTCACAACCGCAGACCACGTGTAACCATGCCAGCCCAGGACCTCGACATCCAGCTTCTTCATCTGTGGGATCATCTGATACCAGCCACCCGGACAGCTGATGAAACTGAGGAGTATTTCTGTCTGTAATAAAAACATTTTGTGATGAAATACTCATTCTGATTGGCTGGGCCTTGCTCCCCAGTGTGTGGCCAGTCTCCCAAGTGAGTCTCCCACCGATGGCTGCGCCCCTGCCCAGTCATGTGAACTCCATAGATTAGGGCTAATGAATGCACACAGCCTTGCCTGATGACTCAAACTGAATTATTTCGCTGCTCTATCGTTCGCAACATACTACAGTCTGAGACTGCCATCATTGAAGTCATTTGTGGTGACAAAATGAGGGGTGTTGTACAAAACAAATGTCATCAGTGGTTGGATCATCACTAAATTATCAGCGTATCAAAGCCAATAACTAATTTTCTAAATGCCGCGTTACCCACGTGTGCTCTGGCCCAACCCATCGGTTTCTTGGACCAATCAGATGGTCTAGAATGGATTTCCATTCTAGAAATCGTTGGGGAGTTACTCAGATCCAGACTCATTGCGGAGAAGAAACTAACGTCCGTGGGCGTGCCGTTTGGCCGGAGCAAGGAGTTTGGGTAGCTAGGCAACACAGTCATGGAGGCCCACCTAATCATCAAGAGCATTATAGACATAAATAGAAAACAATGTAAAAATAACATAAATCTCAAAGTATTAACACTGAAATGCAACACAGAACCATTTACAACGCACACATTATTATCACCATCATTATAACTGTGACAGTCTGTGTCCTTAAAGGTTTGTCAGTGTCCCCCTCTACAGCAGCTGACTGTACTGAATGTGGAATGCCATCCAGCCAGTCAGGGCAGCCACTACTTTCGCACGCAAGGCCCCAATCAGTATCGCCATGACGGCGGGCTGATACCCTGGGGAACATAGTGATCCCGGTGAGAACATTCCCATCCACTTCTCAGGTGGCAGGGGCAGGCTGTCTCCTGTTGGGAAAGCTGCTGTCCGAGGCCTGTCCATTACACATGCCCTTCACCGACCATCTGACCTCATTCCCTTTTAAGGCTCACAGGTTGTCTCTCCCTGTTGGGAAACGTCAGTCATCTCTCTCATTAAAACAAATAGGTCACTGGTTTTGCTCAGAGGAGAGGAGACAATAGGAAACAACTATTACGTGTCTGAATATTTGTGTGAGAGAGGGAGAGAGCATCACAGTCACTGCTGATTGTTGATGCTGTTCCAATGCCATGTGACTCCTTCTTTCCACGAAGTAAAGCACCTCAGGGAAGTATTTGGGGAATGTTGAGTGTTCAATGGTGAAATTCATGTAGAGTTCGCTCCACCAATAAATAAAAGGTAATTCTGTTTAATAGGTTTCAAAATGTAGTCCCAAAGCTGTTGTCTTCAGACCTATATACATGTATACACAACGTGTATTTTCATAAAGTGCCATCATACAGTACTATCTTCCACCTGTTGCTCTCATGGCACCCCTTGGTTTGCTCGAGTTGCAGTTACTCATCATTGCCATAGAATGGCGTCTACTTTGAATAACATCCAAGGCTGGAAGTAGCGCACAGTGGTTTCTTTTGACCCTTTGGACACTGGCGCAGAACAAAGTCAAAGTTCGCAGACGTGGACATTGCGTAGAAGACGTTAGCTTTGTCCGGAATGAGTAACTCTGAAAAACAGAAGACGTGGGGGTTGGTATGAGAAAGGAGAATATTACATACAAGTACACTATTAAAGTCCTCGTCAATCATTCAAGGACAACACTATCTTCAGTAATATTTCTACTGTAGTTCAGTACAGTTAATGCCAAACTATGTGGCCTCTGTTTTTGAGTGGGCATATGTACTGTGTAAGAGCATTTATCGTGCACTCACCTCTTTCCCGGGAGATCACCTGTGTGAGGGTGAAGTCTTGGCAGGTCATGTGCTCCAGGTTGTGTTTTTCCAGGGCCCTCTGGATCACCTGGGCAGTTTTTTCTTGACTAGTCAGCTGAGAAGGACACATAAGTCAAAAAAGCAGTTAACATACTGTAAAAGAATGAGGACAAGAAGGGTTTGGCTGCAAAACCTCCCTTCAACCAACCAGAGTATCTTAAATAAGACGTCAGTCTTATCCCGCCTCGCCCACCTGTCTTTTCTTACTAGCACTGACTTTGCTGATAACATCTTTATTGAGGGAAAATATACTTACTAAGACCGTGATGTGGTTGTCTCACCTAGCCATCTTAACATGAATGCAATAACTAAGTCGCTCTGGATAAGAGCATCTGCTAAATGACAAATGTAACCAGCACGGCAGTTCTTATCTTAGTTCATCATAACCAAATATAATGTACAGAGCTAGAGTACTATACAAATTATCCCTTTTAAAACATTTCCGTAACAGCCTAGATCCCAAAGATAGTCCCTACCCCCAGATCCCAATCCAAGCTCACCAGGATGCTCTTGTACATGTTGCCGTTGCCAGCCTCCACACTGACCCTCACTATACAGGAGTCAGCCACCTGTCTGTTGTAGAGCGGGAGGGAGGTCATGGACACAGAGCGCTTGTGATGAGAGGCCAGCATGGGTTTAGGGTGGGCAGCCACAGGAGCAGGAGCAGAGAGGTCAGGCTGAGAACTGGAGGAACAATTGGAGGGACAACTGGAGGGAGTGGAGCCTTCCGGGGAGGAGGTTAAGGCCTCCGCCACATTTTGACAGGAGCTGGACAGAGACTGGGACAAGGGAGAGAGACAGAACATCCATGAGTGCCATTGGGAATAATGAATTAGTCTTTCGGTTTGTCTGTCTGAGATATTGACCTCAGCACATTTGTGGACAACTGAAGTATTGCTTCACCAGAGGCATGTGCTAAGCAAACACCACTCCTGCTTGGCTTAACAAGGATCTGGTCAATTGACATTCCAGTTCTCAAGGACATCAGTTTCTATGGGCTGTCAATGGGGATCACTGTTATGAATGGGAGATTATATAAAAAGCTACATAATGACATACTTTTGAATTGCTTCATGGTGTAACTACTGGTGTTAGTAAAGTGTAACTAGAGGATGTTTTGTAGTACAGTGTGTTCTATTAAAACATTTGAAACGGCTTTAACCAGGGTGCGCAATGACTGACAGAGTGAGAGACAGAGTCCAAGGTATGTCTAAAAGGGAAAGGAGAGCCCTGTACCTGCAGTCTGAGTGTGGAGGGAGGGGTGGAGAGGTCCTCCATCTCAGAGCCACTGGACCCTGAAGACGACACACTGATCTGGTCTGCATGGCTTTTGCTGCTGGGTCCCTCACTCACTTTCAGGAGTCTGCAAATACAAACAGTTAGAACTTTGTACAAAATGAACAAATGTGGTCAACGTACACTTGAATACTGAATTTTGTCATTGTTCTTTTATAGTTCTTGTTTAATCACAACAATGTTACAATAGTTGTATATATATATATATATATATATATATATATATATATATATATATATATATATATATATATATATTAGAGATGGGGTGAATACTATTGTCTTGAGTAGAATTAACAAGATGGCAACTGTTAAGAGAAGTGTTCAGTACGCACGAGGAGAGTTTCTTGCTGAGGGAACGGTGGCTCCAGGCACTGGCGGAGCAGAGGTCTACTGGAGGTTCCAGGTTTCTGGACAGTTCATAGCTGTGGCACAACACATAGAAAACACTTATGAGCCCCGAAGTCAGGGTGGACTTGTCTAAATGTATACAGCCTTTTGTTCCAGCCCTGCACTAACACATCTGATTTAAAAGCCTGCATACTCTGCGGCCCTGTGTCAACCCCAGCTCTAGATGGGTTCTATTCATTTCCTTAACAGGCAAAACCAGGGTAGGGATCATGGGAATTGTGTTTTACATGTCATTTGAGTAGTACATTTGTGTATACCGCATATTAGAAAGAGACCATTCAGGTTCTATAAATCTCCATGGACAAGGGTTTACTGGCATCATTTTAAGACATGATTAGGTCCCATCAATCCTTACAAAGCTCACCAGCTCTTTATCTCCTCATTGCTCTACCATAAAACCAGTGGGGGACAGGTTCTCACCTCTCCTGGTCCGTGAGCAGCTTCTGGCCCTGTAACCAGGCAGTGATCCTGGTGTGATGGGGCAGGTTGTATTGAGAGCAGGAGGCTTGGAGCTGCCGGATCTGAGAGAGAATCTCAAACTCCTGCAGAGAGAGAGAGGGAGATCATGAACCCATGTCAGCTGTGTGGTTGTTTTGTAACTTGTTATGAACTAGCAACACGTTTAACAGTCATGGGGCTCCAATAAAGACTATCTGAGAGGCAGAGTCATTTAGAGCAGTAAGCAAACATCCATTTACATTTACATTTTAGTCATTTAGCAGACGCTCTTATCCAGAGCGACTTACAGGAGCAATTAGGGTTAAGTGCCTTGCTCAAGGGCACATTTACGTCATTTAGCAGACGCTCTTATCCAGAGCGACTCACCAATTGGTGCGTTCACCCTATAGCCAGTGGGATAACCACTTTACAATTTTGGGGGGGGGGGGGTAGAAGGATTACTTTATCCTATCCCAGGTATTCCTTAAAGAGGTGGGGTTTCAAATGCCTCCGGAAGGTGGTGAGAGACTCCGCTGTCCTGGCGTCGTGAGGGAGCTTGTTCCACCATTGGGGTGCCAGGGCAGCGAACAGTTTTGACTGGGCTGAGCGGGAACTATGCTTCCGCAGAGGAAGGGGAGCCAGCAGGCCAGAGGTGGATGAACGCAATGCCCTCGTTTGGGTGTAGGGACTGATCAGAGCCCGAAGTTACAGAGGTGCCGTTCCCCTCACTGCTCCATAGGCAAGCACCATGGTCTTGTAGCGGATGCGAGCTTCAACTGGAAGCCAGTGGAGTGTGCGGAGGAGGGGGGTGACGTGAGAGAACTTGGGAAGGTTGAACACCAGACGGGCTGCGGCATTCTGGATGAGTTGTAGGGGTTTAATGGCACAGGCAGGGAGGCCAGCCAACAGCGAGTTGCAGTAGTCCAGACGGGAGATGACAAGTGCCTGGATTAGGACCTGTGCCGCTTCCTGTGTAAGGCAGGGTCGTACTCTCCGAATGTTGTAGAGCATGAACCTGCAGGAGCGGGTCACCGCCTTGATGTTGGCGGAGAACGACAGGGTGTTGTCCAGGGTCACGCCTAGGCTCTTCGCACTCTGGGAGGAGGACACAGCGGAGTTGTCAACCGTGATGGCGAGATCATGGAACGGGCAGTCCTTCCCCGGGAGGAAGAGCAGCTCCGTCTTGCCAGGGCTCAGCTTGAGGTGGTGATCCGTCATCCATACTGATATGTCTGCCAGACATGCAGAGATCCCTAAGCACAAAGGTGTGCACTTTTCCCCTCGGCATGTCAAAGTGCCACTAAAATGTGGTGGCGAGTGTACCAGCAATACAATGCATTTAATGTCCTATAACATCGGTTCAATATTTATTGGACACGCTTGTACTGTATATTTTGTTTTCTTTACGTAAAATCCCATTCCCTACAGGCTTAGAGATCGAAGACAAAAACAACTTACCCTCCTCCTCTTTTCAAAGTTTATGAGGTCCCCCTGTCAAAAAGAGCACAACATGCTAGAATACATGTAAAAACTTGACAATATGTAAGATTTATTAACAACATTAAGATAGCAATCAGCTAAGGTAAATATAGAATTAACCTAAAGTAGCTGCCATAACATAGCAGTCTGTGTCAATGGCTGTTTGCTTACCTCCACAGTATCTGGTAGAGCAGTGTCCAGCATGGTGAAGATAGTCAGGTACGTGCCCAGGTAAGGAACCACCCCACTGGAGGTGCTCTGAGACAGCAGTACAGAAACAGGAGACAGAACAGAGAATGTCAGAGGATTCTAGTAACACAGCTTTAGAGAATGTGCATATGAAGCTAGCCTAGTAATCTGTGGCCATTTGAAACTTGCCACACGACTCTCTCTGTATTTTAATATGTTTTTCCTCTAGGGGAATCACTGTAACCTCTTGTGGGTTAAGAGCTGATGTGGAAAGGGGGCTACATGTGACTTCTCAAGAAGCAGAAACTGCCACCGCAAAATACTGAGTAGACAATACTAGGATCCTTCCTTCCCTTTCTATCCCCCCATGGTAACAGCTTATAATAAACCTGTTTGTTTTACTTTCAGATACACCTAATTCTGCTATCATTTCTGTCCATTTAATGTTGCATGGAAAGAAGTGAAAGCTAATAAAATGTCTACATATCATGTCTGCAATGCTCTTACTCAATCTCTCGCTGAAGTATTGCTTACCATCTGTCTGGCAATAGGACAATTCTTGGATATCTTGGGAGAAATGTTATCCATGGCTGGTTGGCTTCCATCCTGAACAGGGGTCAAATATAAGCTAAATTCAGTCTGCATTTATGGCCTTCCATTGTCAACCTGTCTACCCATCTGTAATTACCTACAGCATATGCAAAGAGTCAGTCAAATCTGGTCTAGGTCAGAACTGCCTTTACCAGCTTATGGGGTCAACACCACATTGGTTGTTCTTAGAATAGATAAATGTATCTCAATACGTAAACAATATCGAGCTTTTAAAATCCATGTCAACATGACCAGTTGGAAATGTCAAGATGTGAACTAAAGCAGTTTTGTGCTAAGTAACAAAAGGGGTGGACCCACACAGTAAAATGAAATAAAGGTCATTAGTGTAGTGTTTGTTGACGGAGATGCTAATATCAGCTTGTTGTTACATTCGGAGCAATATGTAGAATATTACTTTAGAGCCCTCTCACTGTAACCAGACCTAATGAAGATTTGACACAAACACCCAGAGCTGACAGAAAAACAGAACACCCTCTCTTTTGCTTTGGGACAATGGCCTGCTATTAACACACCGTTAGGCAATTTCACTAAACATTAACTTGACAGAAAGCAGATGGGTTTTAATAAGTCGTAAAAGTAGAATATCAAGGTGCTTGAAGATGTAAGTAGAGATCAACATCTCTGTAAACAATAAACACTCCATATTGTCATTATTTCAACAGTGTCATATCGTCTGCATTATGGTTGTAGAAAGAAAGCATACATTTGCACGGAGCCTCAAGTAAAACATTCAGTTAAATCATTTTCCTTAATTTATTGGATTCTTACCTCCACAAGGATCTCTCTGTTGCTCAACACACAGTTCTCATCTGGGAAGGTTTCACAGAGGTTATCAAAGATGGCCATGCTGTCCCTGAAGAAGAACAAACCAATTGAATCAATCCAAAAATAACACTCAGACAAGACACCACTAGCAACGTTGAATCAATAAAGGGATTTAGAGTTGGTAAGGCATGGCATGTTGACCTAAAACTATTGTTCATCTATTCTTGACATTGACACAAGACATATTTTTTATTGCATAGTTATGGCATGAATTACAAACTAAGGTTGGTTTAATAATGTAGGTCAATTAGGTGTAAATCATTTCCTTACTGAGCCTTAAATTCGCAGAGAGGATAAGGACACCATTGTTTATTTTTTTGCCATATTCAGTCAATGTTATTGGCCCTCTAGCTTCATGACTCAGCAAACCCTTCCAGTGTGACCGTACAGTCCGTACCTACACACAGCAGCCCAAGTCTTCCTCAGCCTGTAGACAGCATTGGACTGAAGGGCAGACAGGATGGCCCTCAAAGAGGAGAAATTCTTCAGCTGCCGACACTCCTGTTTCAGAAAACAGTCACAAGTTAGAGACTGAATAGGGACTTACTACTTACAACTGAATGCGCTGAGAACCAGGATACAGGTTAACGTTTCGATGTGTCAGGCTGCACTTGGATTTGAAAATGTATCCATCAATGGTCCACGTTACTAGATGTGTCTGACCTGTCCTACTCTGATCCACTTCTCAATGACGCAGGCCCTCTGAGCTGGGCTGGAGGCCCTGCGGACGGAAGGGGGGCTGGAGGTGGTGGATCGGCAGAGCAGGGAGGTGATGACCCGGTTGGTGACTGCGTTAAACTGGGCGATGGTGGCGCTGACTGTGGCAGACAGGTTCTCCTTCTTGTCTCTCTGGGACCACACACAGCCCAGACACTGGTAGGGAACCACCTTCCCAAACAGCCCCTGAGACACACAGATAAGGAAGGTAAAATGGAAGAAGATTGTTAGTGATCCACTCCTGAGGACGCATATTAAGAGCCAGAAGTTATCTGCCATGATTGACACTTACAGCATCCAGTCGGGTGAGCTGTTCTGCAATGCCTGTGACTGAGAAGTCCATGATGTCACCCTGATCCAGTGGGCTGTCCCATTCTGGGACTTCCTCCCCTGAGCCCTCGTCTTCCTGATTCACCTTAGCCTGGGCAGAATGGCCACCAGTATCCATTTCTATTGAAGGAGAGAGGAATGACAGAAGGGGGTCAACAATGGTATAATATTCAAAGGCAATTCACAGAAAAGGTTAGGAAAAACAAGTGAATTGAGATAATCCTGTACCTTCTCTCTGGAACTTCTTAAGCAGAGTTTCAGAGTGCTGGGCCAGTGAACAGAAGGAGGACAGGCAGTGAAGGTGGTCCAACAGCAGCCTTAGGGAGGGGTGCTGAGGAGGATCCCGGAAGTCGTCACTGTACTCCTCCAACCAAGTCTGGATCAGGGGCAACAGACGCCTGAGGAGACAACAACATGTGATGAAACAATGTCTTCCCTATTCCAGATTCACAGAAATAAATGTGATCAAGGGAAAAGCAGCCAGCTCACCTCCTGTGACATTCACTGTTGTCCACATCTAAAGCTACTTTGTCCCTGTGAGAGCAATTAGGAAGACAGTGTCAGAGTCATCTAAACTGTGATTGGACCACTGTCCTGTTGGTCACATTCTTCTTCAGACTGTTTTTCTTTGGTCTGTCTCTATGCTCTGTTGTTATCCTGACCTCACTCCAAACTCAGTGAATTATTGTTATTGTTGTAAAACCTGTAATGGCTAACTACCGGCTGGGTGCTTATCATTAAATCAAAGATGCTGAGATAATCATTTTGTCAGGGAAATAAGAAAGAAAAAAAAACAGTCTGACGAAACTAAGTGACTTTGCATGCACAGCGAGAGGTGTTGTTCAAAAACGGCCACTCGATGTCCCCGCTCATATGTGTCCAACATAACATTCTGAATCCAATTTGGCTAATCTTATTTGTTACTGTGATTACTCGGAATGTGTCAAAAGAGTTGTGTTCGCAAAAAGGTGGGTGAAGACAAGAAGGCAAAAGAAGAGAGAGGGAGATGGACATTTTTAGGCCATTTCACCAAACATTAACTTGGTAGAAGATGGGTTTTAATAAGCAGTAAAACTAGAATGTCAAGGTGTTTTCAAACTATAGAGGTCAAACAACCTGCTCACATAATTTAATACTGTCTAATTTTAACAGTGAAATAGCTTCTGCATTATGGTCTGAGACAATGGTCAGGTAAAACGTAACAGCAGTTATGAGTACTGTAACTTAATGACATGGCCCACCTCTGGAAGAGCAGCTCTATGAGTGCACTGGTAGTGGTGAAGGTCTGGTAGGTGGACAGGAAGATCCGTCTGTAGTCGGGCTCCTGGCAGCAGGGGTCCAGGAGGTGGCTCACCAGCCGGTTCAGGGTGGCTGCCTTCAGCCTGCGCACCTTGCAGGTCCGGTACTGGACGAAGGCAACGCATGGCCGGGCTTCGGTGGGGCTGGCTGGTATCTGGACGGGCTCCCGACGCAAGGTGATCCCATACAACGCCCCCTCCTCAAACTCCTCACCCCACTCCTGCACTGGGTTCTGGGTGGGAAGGAGGAACTCACACGGTGAGATGGGGAGACATGGAGCTCCTTTCAATTCCTTCAATCCTCTATTACTCTTGTATTGAAGCATACTGGACTAGACACTTCATTTCTGTTTTTGGAAACAACACTGAGGTCAAAATGTGGATCATTAGCAGGTAAAAATAGCCATAGGTGACCACTAACAAACAAGCGGAGGTGACCTGCAAACCACTTAAACCCCCCTGAGTCACAGTGATGATGAGGCTATGAGGTTCACACGTCAACAAACTGGACCTCACAAGCAACACTGACATTTCAGCTCATGTGTATAATAGCTGTCTAGGGGCAGTAGACCACTGACAGGACAGATCCTACAGACCATAATGACCAGCTGTGAGACCAGATTGATATTATGGTCCATTACAATAAGCCTATACAGAGGCATGCCTGCCTTGTGAGCAAAATATAGACACCTCACCTGGAATGTCTATGTGATATAGGGAGTGCTTTGGGTTCAGTTATTCAGCTGACTGGTGAAAAGACAAACTCTTGTTTGCATCTGCACACACTATCACAGATTCTTCTCAGGATATTTATATGTTGGTTTAGCAAAGCTAGATTTAGATGAAATAGAGATGAGATTTCTTCGCTTTAAAGGTTTCATTCAAATCTCTCTCATAATACTGTACTGTTTACAGTGGGGAAAAAAAGTATTTAGTCAGCCACCAATTGTGCAAGTTCTCCCACTTAAAAAGATGAGAGAGGCCTGTAATTTTCATCATAGGTACACGTCAACCATGACAGACAAAATGAGAAAAAAAAATCCAGAAAATCACATTGTAGGAATTTTAATGAATTTATTTGCAAATTATGGTGGAAAATAAGTATTTGGTCAATAACAAAAGTTTCTCAATACTTTGTTATATACCCTTTGTTGGCAATGACACAGGTCAAACGTTTTCTGTAAGTCTTCACAAGGTTTTCACACACTGTTGCTGGTATTTTGGCCCATTCCTCCATGCAGATCTCCACTAGAGCAGTGATGTTTTGGGGCTGTCGCTGGGCAACACAGACTTTCAACTCCCTCCAAAGATTTTCTATGGGGTTGAGATCTGGAGACTGACTAGGCCACTCCAGGACCTTGAAATGCTTCTTACGAAGCCACTCCTTCGTTGCCCGGGCGGTGTGTTTGGGATCATTGTCATGCTGAAAGACCCAGCCACGTTTAATCTTCCATGCCCTTGCTGATGGAAGGAGGTTTCACTCAAAATCTCACGATACATGGCCCTATTCATTCTTTCCTTTACACGATCGTCCGTCCTTGGCACATATGTTTCCCA